CACCCCGCCCCCTTGAGGAGGGTTATTGGGTCACGAGGCCAGGGCTAGGGCTTAGTTTTTCCTCAACGGCGGTGGGGGTTGCAAAGGTTGTCGTCATCAATGATGGGGTTGTTGTAGTTTTTGTTTTTAAAGAGCACCCATATTTTTTTATGCTGGATCGGGGGGCGGGCCCAATCCCAGTGTAGCCCGAACAAAATACGGTAGGGCCCTTTCCAAACGCAAGGAAAAATGCCCGGTTTCCGCTTCATCCTTGGGAAACGTACAACCATACCCGGGGCCGGGGAAAACGGGGCATATATTTCCCGGCATTGTGGGGGCCCCAAGGGGCCCCCCAAGGGGAAACCGGGGAACCCCCAAGCCCCCCCCCCCCCCGGGCCAAGATTGACACGCAGGATCGCCAATCTCGGTGGCTCACTTGGAGCAATCTTTTGTATAGGGATTAGTGTCTATATTAAAACCAACATAATATTAATTGTATAAGCTTTCGTGCCGCATTCTACAAAACCATAAATTCTATTCATAGTGTAGGCTTTGGCATGGTCATACTATATCCTCCCCCCATCGTGATCAAGATTGAAGCGTAACCAGGGGGTGTTCCACATTTTCCACTATTTAGCTCTGCGTGGGATCCCGTGCGCGCGCGTGTGCGCGCGCTGAAAAAGCGCGCGAAAAATGTTTGAAACCCCGGAGATTTGGTTAATATGTCGCCTCCGGGGACATATAAGCCCCCCCCCCCCCGCCCACTCGGTGTTTGCCATCGGGGTTTGGGTTTTCGTCGCTTGGCAACGACGTTGTAAAACAAGCCCCCCACTCGGTGTTTGCCATCGGGGTTGGGTTTTCGTCGCTTGGCAACGACGTTGTAAAACAAGCCAATTCACTTCGTGAACTCGGCAACCAGGTTACCGTTTTTTTTTTTTACCTCGGTTTTTTTTTGGCGGTAACCATAATGGTGGTCGAGTAGATCATGTTGTGCGGGGTCGAGAACCCTCACTCCGCGCAACGGGGGATGATCGCACCACGTTGTGTTAAAATGGTCAAGCTTCCTCGAGGCAGCTACACAGTGCTTACAACTGTCTCTGGAAGTGAAAGCACCAGAAAATAAATTAAGTCATACGTAGCTGTCATCCGTACGCAAGGAAGTAAGCACAAGATGCCGAACACCCTTAGCAGGATGCAGCTCACCCTTCATGCGACTCGCCAAATACCTCACGGCGCTTCGCGCTTGGTGATGTGAGAGCCTGGTCCGGTGAGAACCCGGCATGCTCCGTCCCGGCTTTGTAGGGATGCGAGGTCAATGGTCAAACGACTACGGCATGCACGACTATGAGTACACCCCCCCCCCCCCCCCCCCCCCCCCCCCCC